CTCATACCTTTAAGCAGTACTGACAATCCGGCTATAGTATTGAAAGCCCCTAGGATTGTGATTGCTAACATATGTTCTCCTGCTGACGGTCCTAATGCGGTGATAGCTGCGCCGATTGTTACTTGCGCGATTGCAATCAAGTTGAAAACAATACTGATAAGGTGATATTGAAATCTCTGGTCTTTTTCATTGCTATTCAGCTTCTTTTGTAGGCCAGCCGTGGCGGCTGCGTAAGTGAGATGAGTCCGAGACTCATTAGAAGAGTCTCTTGGGAGTGAATGATGAGATTCACGCATAGTATTTTGCTAGGATTTGAATTTAGTTCTTTGAAGAAAGTGTTTTGAAGGGTGTCAGAAATCTCTTCGGTCTTATTTTATGGCAAAAGCTCTAGGTGCATCTTTGACGTCAAACTTTCTTCTGTGCCCTGGGGCTTGAAATCCTATCTTTCGTGATTATTGGAAAAATAGGCTACATCAGACTAGGGTGCTCTAGAACATAACGGATTGAAGTTTAATGTTATTTAAAAAGTTCAAAAGATCCTTGGCACCCGTTCTAGGAAAATCACGGGTTCTCCAAAGTCTAGACCAGTTCCCGAACCATATCTTCGTGTTCTACACCGCAACACTAATTGAAATTCAATCGACTCGACCCTTCACTCAGTATGCTCACGGGTAAAGGATTAGTGGTGACGTCAATGGCTATTAACCTTCAGTCCGTCAATAGAGTCGGAGTCCGATCTAGGAGCTAATGATATTTCTTTATAGCTCAAATTTCGATGATACAGACTAGCAAGTATCATTTTTAAAGAAATTCTACTCCCGTGATAAGATCAAGGCAGCGAAGAAAGAGATTGCGTGTAGGAGATAGGGTCCCAGTACCCTACACTCCAAACTAGACTAACCAAAAGCGCCACCTTGGGAGTTCTGTTGACTATGGACCACAGAACAGATCTACCATGCCAGATTTCCGCACGCAACCCCGCACAGCATCATCATATGACATTGTATCATTTACAGAGAGGGTCTCACTAATAATTGATTCTACCAGTATCAGCGATACTGTATAGACGTGTAGGAGCTTTAAATTGAAGATTAAGAGGGTCGGGAAGTAGTGGAGGGGCCATAGAATGAAGAACCTATGGGTAATAAGCTACTCACTCTCTCTCTAAGAACATGAGCAGCTAAATACGTATATCGGTTCGAGGAAGGAAGCTTGTTAGACGTTATAATGATCACTATGCGTATTACTAGTGGAAGTTACTAATCTATTAAAATTGAAGCGTTTTCATGAACCTTATATTCTGACATCCGTTAAAAAATCCATGGCATACACAAGGATACAGAGTAAAATGGCATAAACTATGTAGTCGAAAGGCCCCGCTCAGCTGGGCGCCCTCCTTAGAACATGTGTCTAGGAACTAGACGTTTAGCTTAGTGATAGTCGGGGCTATATTAAAAGTCGATCGGACGGTGTCCGTTAGCTCGAATTTAGAGCTAAGGACGGCGGTCGGGCTAAGTAAGAGCCTGACCTCGTAGTCGGGCGTCATATTTGGTTCTGCTTGTGTTAAAGAGACGACGGTGGCGGTCATGGCTAAGGATCGGTGCGGGAAGCGACGTATGGTAGCTAAGAGCTCGTAGGCAGGACGTGGACAAAGCGTCGGGCAATAGTGGAACTATTATTACACGAGCAGACAAAGATGGTGCTTAATGACTGTTGTTCAATACATGCAGGAGTTCGGCTCCACCTAACAGCTAATATATAGACGGAGCAAAACAATACGAGTTCTACCCACAGTACGCTATTCAGTCGACCAAATCATTTAGACTCTTTGTCGCCAAATTTTATGACAATATGATATCCTATTGCGGGCAAAGCTCCCCTCACCTACGCACGCCACCTTAGTTGGAATGACACTATCAACTCTCGCACTATACCCCTCAATTGATTTATTTTCGATTGAGAACCCGTGACATAAAATAATGCTACACCGAATATAAATGCAATAAGTTCACTATCATTGTGATAGAGCGCGGTTTATATATGCTTAAATGCCTGAATAATCCGACAATAATAACTTTAGGACCTTCCCTAGCACTGGATTTAACGCTAAGTCAATATTATTTAGAACGGCTTTATCAACTTGTTTGTTGACTCCCCTTTCAGAACTAGTTCGTCGAGATCCGCGCGCAATATGACTGGAACTCGAACGACGACAAGGCGGAAGGAACAACTACAACATATGGGCTGTGCGGGAACAATTTGGCAGTGAATCCGATTGATTACGTGCAGGCGGAGTGTGACTTTAACTGTGATGAGGAACCACGGATGGGTGAACCACGGACGGTTCTAGCACAAGATTGCGGGCTCGGGTGATCGACGTGCGTCATGTGGCGCACCCGAAAATTGCGGCGGTCATCCGCTTCGGATGCTAAATCTTAAATTAACCTGAGGGCATAATTTAGTTGGGGAGAGGCGTGCAAAGAACCGGCAATACTATAAACACATGGGTCGCTGGAAGCATAATTAATGGTCTAGGGTTGGTTTGAAAGGCGGAATTCCTGACATAGTCAAATATTGACGTTGAATGACAATAGAGTCCTTTAATCAACCTGTAAACGACAGTATTGATTTTCATTAGGGTTGCTTGATACCCTGTCAGAGCTTATCTACTCATTAGTTCTTACTCTTTCTACAGAAAGATCCATGCAAGCCGATATACCAAAATATTTGCTGGTACGCGAATGACACCAGTTTCGGGACGTACTGTACTATATCGAAACGGACATCGGATTATAATAAATATGAAGTGAAATGGTTTTCGAACAACTGTTAACACAGATATTAACACAGATAAGATACACATGAATACTGCTCCCATTCCATTCCAATTAACCTCCAAGCTATTGGATGACTCAGAATCCCATGCTTCCATATATCTGCTTAATTTAATAACCCGCGGGTCACCCGTGGCTACCTAAACCGACCCGTGCGGGTTATGGGGAGGTCTAGCTCTGGCCCACTTTTCAGCCCGTGGACTGATTTGTCTGGTGCTGATAAGAAAGTCTTAGCTGCAAGCAGCATTATGGCCGTTGCCCTTTTAACGTAACCAATCATTGTATTACTGTCATGACTTGACTGATCATCATACAATCGTCATAAGTGAGACTAGGTGTACTCATCACCCTTCTGGTTTCCGTGTGTGAGGCCTAACGTTGCGTGTCACCGGGGCAAAAGTCTTAGTGGAGCGAGCAAAGCCATTCGGCACCCTGCCCCGCAAACTCTTGATTAATAATACAGATGCCAAAGAAGTAAGCTCTGGGAGGATCCGATTGAAGATCTTCCTTCGTATTTTCAAAGTTTAAAATATGTCTATCAAATTAAATTTTGAATAGATTTTTCTGCAAGATCATCTGCAAGATCATCTGGAGTTTAATTTGCTTCGGGGACTCGTCATTTAATTTTCAGGGCCAGATGCACTTTGTAACTGCAAGCCGCCTAAGGAGTTCACGTCTAAATGACGGAGCAAGTTCTCAGGTTCCACCACTCTTTGTCTACCTTCCAAATGATTTAAAGAACCATTTCTCTATCTCCCTTCATTTCCGTCGAACATCTCAACCTTCTTAACCTTGGTCAAACATTCAATCTAGGATAGCCTGAGCAATCTACCGTTCCAACTACCGACAATTCAAGTTAGCTTTCGATCTCCTCGAACGCTACAGAGAAAGATTTGTGATCTGGGTACCTACTAAGCCAGCACAAAACCTCCTTCATTAGTATTAGGTACTCTCGACCCAAGTGAACGTACACTCCCTGGAACCAGTGCAAGAAATTATGAGTCCATTACCTTCGAACGGCCCCAGGCCGAGTGAGCTCGAGCGGAACCGCATTCTGAATGACATAATCGAAAATATTGAAGACCGTTTTGCCAGAAACTACAGCGAAGTCGATTACGGTACTCTGAAAAAGGAAGTCCTTATTCCCGTGATCGAAAATGACTTTAACCCAGAGATTCAGCTTCGCGGGTTCCTCAGGGCATTTCGGAACACATTGGGATTCAAAAATTCATTTAAGAACATAAGGGATCCCACTCTAAAAAAGCAGATTACCGCCTTCATCGAGGGCAAGTCGTCCGACGATGCAGTTTGCAACCATGAGTTCGAAGTTTCTGGTCATCCTGATCGCGTCAAGTTCCACTTTTCCGTGTTGTCTGTACTTAGGAACTTGTTTGTCTGTGCCTTGCAGCTCAAGGAGGCAATCAAAGATATCTTCCCACGGAAGCACCGTTATGTCCAAGACCTACCGGGGTTTTGGGAAGATCAAAAGCAAACTAAGGCCATGAAAGTAATTTGCTCCACATTGCCGCTGTTCTCCCTTAATGCTGACAACTATAACGCAGGTGGTGGTTACAGATGTTGAGTTCGAAAACTGGGGTCAGACGGTGAAGAATACCCCGCGGTGTACATTTGTTCCTACAACTGTATACGGTGTGCAGCAGATTGTCCGTTACGCGAAGCAACGTGATCTCCGAGTCCGTTGCGGCGGCTACCGTCACAGTTGGAGCAATATTTTCTCGCAAGACAATGAGATTTTCATCTCCCTCCTTGACCTTCACCAAGCTACGACCATTCCGGACATAATCAGCGTTCTCCCGGGGCAATTCAACCCCTACAACGGCAATCAGTTGCGGACCATTGAGCTTAAAGAGCAAAAGAATAAAAGCAAAAGACTGTGTCGTGTTGGTGTATCCGTGACTAACGAGGATTTTCGGCGCTGGGCGATTGCCAATGACGCTTGGAGCTTGCCAGTCGATGTCATTCTTGTCGAGGTCACAATCGGTGGTGTCAATGGCCCGATCTGTCATGGCGCCGGTTATGCTCACAAAACGGTGTCTGACTATGTCCGGAGGGTTGAGTACGTGGATTGTAACGGTGATTTTCGAACAGTCGACGACCAAGTTGACATTAAAGCTTCCGCTGGCGCTTTCGGGCTCCTTGGAGTGGTGACGCACATAACCTTCGAGCTCGATGCCATGACATACGCAGTAATGAAACCCGTTAAAGTCGACATCGGTCTGGCTATCCCCCCAATTAACAAGGATGATATTCCAATTGCCCTCCAATCCGACTGGTTCCACTCAAATGATGCATCAAAGAAACTTGCCGATGCCAAGATAGAGTTTGACAACCGCGCAGCGAATCACTATTACTCTGAATGGTTTTGGTTTACCTATCAGCGTAAAGCTTGGGTAAATACCTGGAACACCACATCTGATGCTACCGGAGTTGAAGAGTATCCGGATGAGGCGCAAACTTTCCTGCAATGGATTCAAGGCTGGCTGGGGGGAGTTATCACTACCGTCCCTCTCTTTAACGCTCTACCGGGATATTGGCAGTAAGAATGCGTCTGGGTCCATGTCTAAGATAGTAGAGTTGCTCACAAAAGGACAACAGAGCACAGCTGCTGGCTACCAACGGAATGGCCGCCCTCCCCCCAACCAATGGCGAGGATAGCACCCCGACCATCATTACGGCTCTACCTAATGCGCTGCATTTCCGACGCGGTATACAAAATATGAGAGTTAGGGATACTGAGTTCCAGATTCCGATCCCGCCCCGCAAGGACGATCCCACCAAGCCTGACTTCTCCGTTGTCCAACAAGCATGGTGGGACGTCATCAAGCTGGTCTACCAACAGGCTGAAAGCAAAGATGACCCATCCTCACCTATGCGGCTGACACTTGAGCTGCGTATTATGGGAGGCAGTGACGTGATCATGGCACCTCAGCGAGGTAATAGGCTAGGTACCGCTAGCATTGAGGTGCTCACTATCCCTGACGCCGTGGCGGACGATGATTGGATGGATTTTATCCAAAAAGTCACCGACATCTGGATGTCATACGGGGACGATCTGAACGTCCGCCCTCATTGGGCCAAGGAATGGGATGGTCTTCAACTGAAGGGACAGGATGCGCGCAAGTATTTGAAAAACGTAGCGTATCTCTCGCAGATCGATGAGTTCCGTACTGCGCTGCAAAGGATTGGCCGGCCTCACGGCTGGGGCCTAGATGAGCTTCGAAGTCGATTTTCTAATGAGCTTTGGGATGAGATTGTTTTCGACTAATATACAGTACGGGGTATTATTTTTTTGCTGGTTTCTGTATCCCACGGGTGTGCTCTCAATCTGCCAGACTGGGGCCATTCCCTAGCTCTTAACTCGTCCTGGATTTAAATTGCAATAATATGGGGTTAAAGCTGATTTCGAATTCCACTGTACAATCGAGTCCATTTCCAGTTCCGTTAACTGTTCGTTGAGATTTAGATCAACATTCATACAATATTGAGGACTCAAGGGAAGATTGGAACAACGATGTGATGATGTGGGGTGTAAATGACGGCATCGCTTTTTACCAAAATGATCATTGGGTCGACTCTCGTCAGAAGAAAGTATCTAAAAGCTCCATGTTCACCCTGGCAGCTGATGTTTGAAAAACGAGAGAACAACGGGGCATGAGAAGCCCGCATGAAATGACATCGCACCTACCGATTGAACTCATATGATGATAAAATTGAGCATGATCTAGCTAGGGATTATAATCGAAAGTAACACCAGGCTCATATTTATTTGTCGAAATTTCAAAGTTGAGGGTTGTGTCTTTTTTGCTTACGTGGCTGGCGGGAAAAGAGGAAGACTAGCAGACGATGTAAAGGTTGGACGGTTTTCACATGTCTGGCAGTAATGCTCTTCCGCTATACACGCAGGCGCGCTTTTTCTTTCGTGGTGGCATTGAATTTTGCCATCTCTATATCCCGTGCGCGTCGTGCAAATGATGATGTAGAATGTCACGCTCATTGCTGAAAGTCGATTGCTCCAATCCTGTACACTCCGTAAGAAATATTGAAACGTGGAATGAGCCATTTCTTGCCAAGTTGAAGATGAATTGACGTTACTGTTGCATTCGATAGATTCTTCAACTCATTCCAGACGAAGTGATGTGACCCTATCCCACGGGGGGTGGCCCAGTCTGCCAGACTGTTGGTTATGGTTTTCTCTTAACTATGGGAGCAAAAGTGGGTCGTACGCCTGACTAGGAGTTTACGTTGTGCCTAGACTTAGAAGGTGTAGAGTTCTCCGATCGGTCTTAAATTTTGGTTAGTTATAATAGACTAGCTAATTGATCTCCGATTTGCTTCGGAGTATATATAGCCTTCTAGTTATCGAGAAACTAGCGATTGAAAATTAGAGATGTTTTGATAGGGTGCGGGAACTGGGCTAGTTAGGATTGCGACCGGGGCTTTAGGCTAAACTCTAGGGTTTTGTGAGACCACGCAGCCTCTAGGTTTAGGTAGGTAAGCGAGGTAGATGGCCCAGTTACGCGCGATACAATATAGTGGATTGTATGAAGAGACTGAACGCTGGTCCGCCTATCGGACCAGCGAGAAATGCTTATATACACGACTGGCCCATTCGTGGGCGGTGAGGTCCTAGATCATCCTTTTATGTGTGTCCTGAGGGAGAGTGATGAATTGAGGGAGAGTGATGAATTGAGGGAGAGTGATGAATTGAGGGAGAGTGATGAATTGAGGGAGAGTGATGAATTGAGGGAGAGTGCTGAATTGAGGGAGAGTGCTGAATTGAGGGAGAGTGCTGAATTGAGAGAGTGGTACAGTATGGATGGATGTTTTCATTTACGCTGACCCCTCGCAGAGTGGTACAGTAGTTTTCGAATTCAGCTATACCTCCAGTCCGCCTCCCAGACCGCTCACTTAAAATAGTAGAAGTATTTTACAATACGATCCCGAACGTCAGACCCTATAATTTACCCGAAACTGCTTTACAATTCACGATGTGCCCCCTCTTCCCTATTATGTTTCGTCAACCATTAATTCTATAAACATCACATCTTCTCCACTAAGAATTCGCACAGGGCCAATCTGAATGATATGGCTCCAAGGCTTTCCCCTTCAAAGCTTGATCTCATTCATGATATGATAGAGAGTCAGCTGTTTACCACGTCTCAGATGGCCGCCGACGCTGAATGCAGCATAGTTACGATTATTAATTTTAACAGAGCGGCAATTTGGAAGCATCTATGCACCCCAATCTCGAAGGTTCGCCGCGATGCTCAAAATCCAATTCGTATAGCTACATACGTATTTGATTGGCCTTTCGACCATGTGTGGTTGACACGATAGTGCCTCGTCGTCTTTGTTACCTGGCTTCAAATTGCCAATTAAGGGCATAGAGTGCCCTGATATTCACTTACTTTCGAATTTGTGCCCGACATTAGGCTCAGAGCTGCGAATCCTATTACCAGAGATTGAACGTCTCGATCCACCTTCCCATATCTCTACCAATCTCCTTCAAAAGATGAAAATAAGATTTTGATGACGGTCTTTGCCACAACTCCTTCACAGTATGATATCCCTTGCAGGATATCTGCACCCCTCAATCAGACCGCGAAAGCTAAAGAGGGTCTTGCTGCCGCGCTTTAAGTTTCGAACACAAGAGTTCCACCTCACTCCCCTCCAAAGAATAGGTACCTTTGTCGCCGGGACGTCCCATTCTTCTCAAAGCTAGGCTCGAAGCTTTCCGGCCCTTAACGTTTGTTTTTTTTTGGGTTTTTTTTCCCATATATTTTAATCGATACAGTCAATCATAATTTCCCAGTGTGTTGGGAACATCACTTTCATTCCTTTTAAATCTTTTTTTCTGCTCTTAGATACATAAGCAATATAATCAGATTGACTTGGCAATCAAACAAGCAAAGTTGAAAATAAGTTAAGCCCTCCAAAGTTTCCAGTTCGTTGTGTCCCAGTCAGTCTGGTTTTTTTTTCCTTTCCTTCTTTTTTTCCTTTTCACCTTTTTTTCATCTCCTTTGCTTGCTAGGCAATAGTCAACAGAGTGGCGTACGAGAAAATCCGTAGCTTCGAACCAATACAATATCCGTCCTCCGAGGTGCCTAGTATCGCAGATAGATTCAGGTTACAGTAATGAGCTGCCTGATATCTGGCCGATTGCCGACTCTCTGACTTGTAGGGCCAGAAAGACATATCTTGTTGTGGTGAGCCTGTGATCCGTAAGATATGACGGGCCCGGCCTGAGGTCAAAAGCTGGCGATTATTGCCCTTCAACGTCCCTTGTACACTGGCAAGTGCCCCGGTGGCAATTGGAGAAGCGCTGGACGTGCTATTAGAGATGTCAGTATACCACAAATTAGGGTTCGGCCCTCCCTGGAGGTAACTATATCCCGTTGGGGTAACTTCCCTTCCCTAGCCTTGTGTATCAATCCTCGTCCTATAGTTTGAGAACGAGAGCCTAGACCTGGCTGGGCCATAATTCCTTCTATGTGTCCTAGGAGGAGGAGCTCCAGCACCGACCATAACCGCATCCGAAGAAGGGCTTGCTTGATTAAAAGGATTCCTCCACCAAGATAGAAAGTTGCTTGGCCGGACGTTATATATCTGATCGTCCAGACTCTAAGAACTATTTCCTGCCGCCTCAACAACAATAATACCTCGACGTGTGGCGTAACGAATTGCTACAAAGTCGTCCGGCCACTATTTATGTTGGATGAATCCGAACTGGCCTAGTCTATTAGACTTCGGACCTAGTCTGTGAGCTTCGATCAAGATAATATCTCTACGTCGAAGCTTATTAGCAGCTTTCGAGATAGCGACGGATGTCGATTGACAATTAAACGATGATGTAAACACTATTGCTCGCGGCGCAATTCCCGAAATCCTAAACGTGTTGTGATCCCCTCCCACGACACCGACCACGGCGGTACCATGGTTTTCGAACGCAAGATTGTTGCTAGTCGTACCAGCAATGACTCCGCCTTGAAATTGCTAAAGGTCTTCATGGGTGAGCCTCTATCCCCACTTATAGTCGACAACGCGAATATCTATTCCTTAACCGGATGGATTTGCAGGATCAGTGATTGCACCAATTCCTCCCGGTGCCGGGTTTAGATAGCCTTAACTGTTAACAAAGTTTGGAGTGATCGGGGGTGCATTAGCCGATATTAGCTCTGATGAAAAGATTGCTGGCATCGCCGGAGGTTTGACATATGCTGCGTCGACCAAGTTCTAGGCGGCGAGAAGATCTCTAGCGAGATCGTCAAGACTTTCTAGGGGTGCATAAACTTGATAGAAAGCGGCAAGGTCATATTCATCATCATCACTAGACGGAGGAAGCTCTCGTACTACCCGCCGGATTCTTTCCTGACTTGGACCGAACAACAAGGAGGCGGAAGCGCCATACTGATCCAGTGCATTATTAACCACCCCTATGTCTGTCGTTGGCGATTCCAATGGACCACTTTGAGGTTGGTTGATTTCAATTCCTTTTTTAAAAACCAAGATCAACTCGGGTTTGTTGAGATCAATTGGTTCTGGATGCGCTGCCATATTGTTTCAGAAACTAGCGTTTTAATAGATAAGAATGTTCGTAACAAATACTTCAGTGAAATAATGTTCGCTTTGTCTCAGTAGGAAACAAGTGATGACTTTAAGTACTTCTTACTTCCTCCTCAACCTACGGCGTGTAGGTCATTATTATGATACCATTATAGATTATTGTATATGATACAACCTGCTTGCAGCTCCGATTTCGTCATCCGAGCCAAAATAACCATCAAGTCAAAACGTCGTGACTCTGCTAGCGAGTTTTCATAAGTAGTTCTGGTATTTACGTTGATGTCATTCTTGCACGTTGATTAGGTCCATTTTGTCTTCTAGACGCTACTAGTCCCCGATATCATGCTGGGTGCGTTGAATTCAAAGCTACAAAGATTATTCTTGTGTTGGCTATAGAGACTAGGCTCATGGTCGACACAGTTAACTCTAATTTAACGCTAAGACGGGTTTACCGATCTGTGGCGAGAAATGACGAAAGAACCGCATATCTAATATCATCGTCTTTTGGCAGCTCTATCCTCTAAACTAAAAGTCCTGATAATTTGTTAGTCAGTCAACGTCATTTGTCTTTTATCTGTAGAGGCCTGAATAGTACTGGAGTATCATATGTAGTTACACATAAGGCCTAATGAAGCCTCAAACAGCAGCCAACCCAATGCCGTTGGACTACAGATTCAGTTGGGGTAGGGAACCCTAAATACGAAGTTCTTAATACAAAATGACAGTACTAAACATTTTTTTTCCCTGAGGTTAATTTAAGATTTAGCGTCCGAAGCGGATGACCGCTGCCAATTTCGGGTACGCCACATGACGCACGTCGATTATCCGAGCCTGCAGCCTTGTGCTAAATTCGTCCGTGGCTCGGCCACCCACGGTTCCTCACTGCCAAAGTCACATTGCGCTTGTATGTTACCAATCGGTATCAACGCACGAGCTTAAGTTTAATCTACACTAACGGACAGCAGACACCCAGAAAAAGTGTAATCGGCTGCGGGACGTCTATTGGAAGGAATGGCGGAGGAATTAATGGCTTTCGTGGAAATACAGAATGATAAGGGATCTGTTTGTATGCAAGAATGCCAGTATTGGTCATTTGTTGAACCTATTATTTATTGTCAGTTTTCCAAAGATTTCTCCAATACAGAGAGTTATATTACTATTCTGGCCCACCTACATTATTAGCACGCATTCAATCACTTTCTTTCCACATCCACCTGACGATCATGTACATAACCAAGTATACATGGCGAATATCGTTGCTAGATGCCACAAGCTTCTGGAGAAAGGTGAAATACTACATCGCTCTTCTCAGATTGTTTTGGTTGTTGGTAATCGAGCTTAGATACTTGGTGGGGAACTGGGATCGCGCGAGTCTCGGGAGGATGATATCCACGCCTTTAAATTGGGTAGCAGTAAGTTGGGAAGTGCTGAGAGAATTCCCAAATGCGATGACACTAAAATCCTTGGCCATAATCTAGCGGACGCTACGATTACTTCCGAGCCTGCGACGTCACAACCCCTCTTTCCTCGTGTTGAACCCGCAGCTTGTATACTGAATGAAATTGAATAGCTATCGATTGTTGATTCTCGCGACCAATATATCTTTCAGACAAGGTCCATTGAATCTACCTGGAACCCACTGTTGCCCTCGTAACCTTAACCCTGATGAAAGAGCACTGATGGTTACACAAATTTGATCTAAACTGTAGCATTTCCATGTTTCAATACTGTTTCAAGCCAACTGGTGAGACTTGCAGCCTAGAAATTTAAGTCTTCTGCTATTGAGTTAAATGTAGTCTTCCAAGGTTGGTTGGGCGAAGATCTACTATGTTTCACTGACATCTGAGGCGAGTAAGGATAATGACAGTGGAAAATTCACTTGACTGCACCTAAACTTGACTGGATTTTACTGGCAGCGAACTTTATTCATAGTGTCTGTTTTATCAACTCTATAAATTGGCGCAGTCTTTCAACCACGGAATTAGAGATGACAGCATCAGTACAACACACATTTACTAGTATATCTCAGTCAATTCCTACTGGTCGCTCCTCCCGACCAATGGCTAGTGGAATTATTGGAATTGAGCCTTATTTTATATAAGCTTAGTTTACCTTCCACGTATGACAATCTGGAGTTAGAACATTCTAGATCTGCTCCTGTCGTCATCACATCTTATGTCTTTGTAGGCGTGAAACTCTAGACGGATCAAAGGATCAAAATACCCTCTGAACGATAGCAAAGTATATAATTGACTCCAATCTTCGTAGGTAATATTTCGTTATCTTCCAATACTGCTTGATTCCAAGTCATGTTCTTACAATAGTAACTAGACCAACTCAATACACTACTTGCTTCAGAACTGTGCAGATATTATGTTACAAACTCAACTCCTGGAGAAAGGCTGCACTGATGACAACAAAACGGAAGGTACCGGAGGTTGCTGCTGTGGAATCCGGGGACCATGAGGCTAAGAAAGCGGTCCGATCATATCTTGAAAGTTTCAGTTACTTAGATCGGTACAGAGAGGTTGATGAATTGGATGCTGAAGTGGACGAACATGCTGCATTTCGAGCTCTTCAGCACCTTTTCGGAGTGGAAATAAGCGGTAAATACGACATAACAACGATGCGGCTCTCCTGATACAACGGCATTGTCAACCTTATCCTCCGCCGCCGTAGCTGGTCTAAGCGAGTTATATCCTGGCGGATCGAGAATGGCTCCGCTAACCTCAGTACTCATGCTATGCACAATGCCATCAACGACGCTTTCGAATGGGATAAGCACATCCGTATCCTCCCCATCCGCCCCCCCCCCCCGGGGGCCCGACGACCTCCACGTGGTGGTGCACTGGCCGGGGACGGGTCTCATGATGAGGAGCAGTGGAACGAGGATTTCCTAATGAGAGACGCCCTCCACGAGATTGGGCATTCGTTGGGCACTCGTTGGGCGTTCCACAGTGTGATATTTCTGATATCGCCGCCATCCAGAGGCTTTACCCCTGACTACCCAAAGTAAAGTCTCTACTCAGTGGTTACTCAGATGAGGAGTTGTTAAGCTTGATCGCTGAGTTGCCGCAAACTAGTCGCCGTCGTGTCAAGTGGAATAGAGAGAGCCTCAAGGAGTTTTCTATTTCAACCGCGGTGATGTTGTGTATGTACTCAAAGCTTTAAATGAGCCCGAGGAAACTAGGATCTGTCTCTTATTTTAAGATTTGGCGCACAATATATGCTTAGGTCATGGAGACTTGACCGCTATAACCATAGTTTGTTTTCATGTACAGACTTCAAATCTAGATCTCCTTGACTCAACTCTGTAATAAAAAGCATACACACTCTAACGACCGGTTTGTTAGTGTGTCTGTCTCTATACCCTAGGATGCATTGATTTAGGCAAGGCAAAACATCGAATTGGATTGAACACAAGCAAAGAATCTGTATGCAGTTGAACATCAAGTGTAATAAAAATTTGCAATAATGCGAAGAAAAAAAAAACCTTATAATACGAACCCCTGGTCAACCGTTGAAAGGAGCGAAACTGTTCAATAAAACGATGAATAACGAGGTGAGCAGTCCTTAAGGGGACGAAGTGCGAGGAGGAAGCCCGTCCCATGTTCAAGCTTTGCGTTATCCCGAACGCTGCTGTCAGCTACAAACCTCTGCGGCAGAGGAGCTGTGCAGGGCTCTACGACAACCCTGGTACTCGCCTTCCGGAAGCCTAGATCCGACTGTGAACGGGGCCCACGGAGGGTCGACTGGGCCAGTAATTTTGGAGCGACCTGATTTCCGGCTTCCGGCATCAAAATTGTTCGTTGAGGGCGGGCATACGGCTTTGCCACTGTTGGCAACTGGATTGGTTGGGGAAAAAGGGGGGGCAGGACCCGAGTATATATATTCGATAAGGAAACGAGCATGGGAACACCAACGATCGGTATTATTGGTTAACACAAGAATACTTTCTCATGAAACCCAAATTGGCTCTCGGGCACTTCATATATGTACGGCATATCTCAGAGCATGAGTAACTAGGTTGGCAACGTGAGATAACCGACTTCAGAAGAGTGGTTGCTCTGTACGATTCTGGCAACAGATACGAACGTTAGTATCATGGTGTAATATATATTACATCTAACCCGATACGGTTAACCCCAAAGGGAATATGAATAATATCAATAAAATCATGCGAATATGAATAACAGGCATATTCGCGCGAATGAAGTTATTCCTATATTCGTATTCACAGCTGCGAATATGAGTAAAGCCATTATTCGCATTCCTTTATTGCTTTCGGAACTCTAGCTAAGGCAGACATCGGGTGGCCAGCGTTGGGAGGCGACGGGAAGACCGGAAGCTAAAGCGGACACGCGCGCAAAGTTGAAGGGTAATCGTCTTGTGCTTTTAATGTACCTGGGAGTCAAAAACGAGATTGTCATTCGGCATCACTGGAATGGACCTTTTCCGCGTCTTCGTCTTATGTGAACTCCTAATCCTAAAAAAGGGTTTGAAGTTCCTTTGATGGACATTTGGACCATACAATTATGTCGTGTGTTTTTAGTCCTAGAATAGGACTATCATTTTTTTTCATATGTAGATTATTGTTTCAACTTCTAAAAACAACAGGCATATTTTCACGCAGCATGAAAGAAGTTACCAAAAATGTTAGAAATTTCGCTGAACCAAAAGACCTACTCGAGTGTGTAGTGCATCATAACTTGGAATTATAATCTCAACGAAAAAAGCCAAGACATCACCACGCCAGTAACCTCCAAGGTAGAATTCGGAATGATACCCCAACACCAAAAAGTTAAGAAACTCCAGCAGATACAAATAAATCCATGACAATATTTCACAGTTAATGATAGTGTGATTTTTAGGTATTAGGAACCCATCAGCAAGCATTCATAATAGCCGATCCCAAAGAGCCAGGAAAGTATATCACGTCACATCTGAAGTGAAAGCATGCTCCGTGGGCGAGGTACAATTTTGCTCCTTATGGGTAGTTTGCTCGTGCTTCCAATATGAGCTTGTTCAGTGCAGGCCCCCCGGCGTATTCATTATCGCGATTAGTAGAACCTGTGGGCCGTTCGACAGCGGTGCTGCCAATGGTGCTGCCAACGCCGACGACTCTCGGTCTGGACGGGTCATCCTTGAAATAGCCCCAGGCTGGCGCGCCACCCTCTCCGGGGGTAAAGTCGTTGAAATGGCCAAGTACATAACCAGAATTGCCATTGAGAGTAAAGGGTTGTACACTGGAGATAATGGCGCCGCCCTGGTATAGAGGACGTTCTCCTCTGGCACGATCCTGGCCGTAGCCAACACATTGCCAGGAGGGAAGATTGTTCCAGGGGCTTTGATAAAGCTGAGCCCCAACGTATCCGATGGTGTTACCGATGGGCTGTGCAAGGACCAGGATAACATAGTCAAACGCGGTTTCCAGATCGGTCAGGTTGCCTGATACCTTCTCGTAATAAACGACCTTGCTGGCGGCGAACTCGCCCCACGGCCCACGGCCATCGTAATAGCCCGGAGTGAATGTGACCCATCCAACGTTACCTCGGCCATCTGAGTTCCAATTGATAATGCTGCTCGCAGTCAGGACGAGACGGGATCCAATCATAGCGCCGGAGCCCCAGCCGCCCGCGGTACGGACCTTTCCAACTGTACGCCAAGGATACTTGGTATCCTGGAACAAAGTACGATCATCGCGGTCAAATATGATACCATTGGGGTCAACGTCTTTACTCTTCTTAGAACCGTCGAGGTTGACGTGCGTCGAGGGTGCCTCAGTCGGCGTAAATGAACATTGCGACCCAGGGGGCACTAGACCGTCAAGTTCCTTGACGTCCGGGTGGCTTTTCGCAACCAAATCAACGTCTAATGGGACAGGAGTTGGGCTCGGGAATGGGGAGGTGACGTTAAGGCCGTCAGCCCCGACGTCCACTGCAACACGCAGACGACCATTCTCATGCAACAGGTTTGGTTTGTTGTCATCGTCCAACGCGATATCAAGTACCGGGACTTGTATCCGCTGTTCTGTCCCTTCAGTCTTGAAGGGGGGTTGCTTCGCAAGGACCTTAGTTTCGATGGGAGCTTCCATGACTTGAATGGTGCTCACAACCTAGCGTGTCGATATGGAAATGGAAAATCAAAAATACAGTTGACTATCAAATCTCGTTGATTGGATTTTACTGCGGTTCAAGATTTCAAGGGTGCCGTGGACCTAGAAGTAGTATTTATATACTTGATGGTGCCGAAGATAGCAACATGCAAGCCATTATGAACAGATGTGACCGGCAATTGATGCAGGTATGACGACTACATTACAACCGCGTGGACAATCTAGTCGAGTCTAGAAGCGTCTTGATAAAAGCAAAAATGGAATGCGCAGTCTGACGTGACCTTGAACTTCGGAAATTCAGTAATATATAGTTCAAAACTCTATATTTCGTTGTCCCGACTAAAGTTAGAATCTCCTTCTCATTCATGGGTCAAAGATAATTAATTAAGAATAAGGCTGTGCTTTGTGGTTCTAGACCCGAGGTGAACGCCGCCGCGTGTAACATTCTTCTCGCTGGTTTGTACTAAACTTTTTTTGCCCTCAGGTAAATTTAAGATTTAGTATCCGAAGCGGATGACCGCTGCCATTTTCGGGTATGCCATATGATGCACGTCGATCATCCGAGCCCGCAACCTTGTGCTAAAATCGTCCGTGGTTCGACCATCCGTGGTTCCTCATCACTGTCAAAGTCACACTCCGCTTGCATGTAATCAATCTGTATCAATTGGTTACGAGCTTAAACTTAATATATACTGATGGACAGCAGATACCCAGAAAAAGTACAATCGGCTTTGGGACGTCAAAGTCTATTCTTTCCTTCCACATCCACGTGACGGTCATGAAAATAACCAAGTGATCTGTCTGTGGCATATGGATTGAACTCCCTTGAGTCCGTTTTGCATTTTGGACAGCCCAGACGGTCTAGTCGAAGCATGTTTTCACCCAATCTCTACCGGTTCGAACATATTGTGCTAAGCTGCATTATCAGGAATATACTTAGTACTCTATAAGTCCATCTACTACCCATTAAGAATAGTCGGATTGGATTCTTGATGCGGAATCGAAAATCCCCTATGGAATATCCTGTCATATTATACGACAAGACGAACGGGGCTCGGTCTCTTATTGTATGTATGCCAAGTCCCCGCGGAGAAAGCGGGGCGAAAGGTTGCAATCTGGGCTTGTGGCATAAACTTGTTATCCTTGATAAGCAGGGTAAATGGCCGCCCTTCCATCGCTTCTAAAAAGAGCCATGGTGACAGCACTATCCATATATCATGTCTTCTTTTGGTATTGCCCCCATTAGGAGGCAGTCTCAATGATTCTTACTTTTCCTAATGAAAGCACGAGGTCTCTACGTTGCTCCTGATCCTAACAAATAGTCTAATTATGTCTGCCAGCTTACGCTGGTTCAACGAGACGAGGTAGAGCACGGTATAAGACGGCATTGGCTTGAAACGCTAGCACACTTTCGGAGCCTACGTCTGTTCCCGTCCCTCATGGTTACTTTATGCCATTACTGAATTTACACATTCTCCTATCTCTCACTTGGTGTTCAATCTTCCAAACTTCTACCTTTGCGGTCTAGTTGAATATATATTCATTTATGTAATACATAATTACAGAACTTTGGATACTGTGATCCCGCTGTCTTTATTGGATATGATATTCCTTTTAATTGTTAAACGTAATGGTCTCAATGGCTAAGCACGCAATGTGATACCTGCAAATGTAGTTCTGAATCACCAAAGTTACACTGAGACCTAGATTGCTCGAGGTTAATCTATATCGCAGCTAGTTGAATTTCTCGAACTCTGGTTTTAGCTACAACTTGACCGGAAATGACCTGCACCTCGGACATGGCATTTCTTTTCCATTTTCAAATAATTTAATTTAAGGCCTGTACTTGTTTGTCGAATATCGGAACAAAAACAAAGCGGAGGTCCAATAGTATATTGAAGTTATGATTGGACGAAGCTCTGTTTGAAGGGAATCACATATGAACGTTACGCCTGCGAAAGGAATAGATTGAGAATCCAGGCTCTCGTATCCAAAGTTTGCAGGATAGGATAAAATGGTTTACCTTCGTACTCTGCGTGCGGAACGTCTTCGACTACTGACTAGAACCCCAGTCGACCATGGAGCAGTTCATCTGAACCATAATCTAAGGATATCTCTAGAACGTACGCTAGTATTAAGAATGATGGTTTGCCACTTATCATCTCTCCCCTCGCGTGTTCTAACCCGTTCATGTCAAGCCGGCTCCTGCCGTTGACAATTTCGGCTATTGATGACGTGTTTTGGATTCTCGCCACCATCTAGAGTATGTATTACCATGGATTAGTCTATCTTAGCGCAGATCAAACGTAATTCGGAGCTTTTTGTCAGTAGACTGTTCTATGAACCTAACGGTCTATAAAAGGCCCCTCCGAGCGATACTCTTACAGGATTTGGAAGCCTCTCCGTTTTCTTTCGGACTTGAATTTGGAAAGCATTTTATCAAAGTTTTCAATTGTCTACCTTTACTACAGTGATTCTTTATCTAATCTAACCAAACTATCGGGCATACTTCTTCTGCTATTACCCGGAACACTCCTGAGTACGGCACTATGGAACGGGACGGAACCTCAGGTTCGGGGCAATGCAATTCTATGTGCAGTTTCATCCCGCCATACTTGCTCAAAGCAATCGCAGACTCGCCTGAAGCCCCTCAATCTGCCCGTGAAGGAGCAGCTAGGACCCAGTCTATTGACATTAATATCCGTAGTGACCGCCAGGTCCTACTCGAAGGAGCCACGCCTGGTGCAGGGATCATTCCTCCTTATATAACTGAGGCAATTGCTGAATCTGAAGCTACCGAGCCTCAGGTCCGCGAGAGCGCCCAGCAAACTCTGCAACAGGATCGTGAAATTCGTCGCGAGCGTGCCGAAGCGGCAGCTGGTGCTGTTGTGTATCCGACTCGCCAAATATTCGACTGCAGAGAAACCGACAGTCTTCCAGGATCACTTGTTCGACCAGAGAATGGACCAAGAGTAAGAGATAGGGCTGTGAACAACGCATATGATGGTTTGGGTATAGCCTTCAATTTCTTTGCTACCGTGTTTGGGCGAAACTCTATCGATAATGCTTCTCTTACACTTGTTTGCTCTATGCATTATCTCCACGACTACAATAACGCCCTCTGGAATGGCCGCCAGATGATTTTTGGAGATGGTGATGGAAAGTATTTCGACTACTTTTCCGACTCCCTCGATGTTATCGTCCATGAGCTCACACATGGCGTAACCCAGTACACAGCGAACCTCGAGTATAAGGATCAACCCGGTGCTTTGAATGAATCAATCTCTGATGTATTTGCTTGTATGGCTGAGCAGTGGCACTTTGGGCAAACATCAGCACAAGGAGACTGGATTCTAGGACAGCATATCCTCCCTGTGGCAAGAAAGGGGGCCGCGCTACGCTCGTTAAGGGCTCCAGGTACTGCTTACAATGATTACTTGGGCAAAGATCCTCAAATCTCCCACATGCGCGACTATGTCACAACCGATAAAGATAACGGTGGTGTGCATTACAATTCAGGAATTCCTAATCATGCTTTCTACCTCACTGCGATTGGTCTTGGCGGCCATTCTTGGGAGCGTACGGGACAAATCTGGTACAAGTCCCTCACAGACCGGCGTGTGAAGTCAAAGTCAACATTCAAGGAATTTGCGGAGTTCACCTTGGACCACGCACAGAATATGTTTGGAAACTTGGTGAGCAACATTGTGAAATCTTCTTGGGAATCTGTTGGAGTTCTGTAAGTTTTTGGCTGTAAATTTTTGGGATTTTGTAGTATCCGACAAACCGCATGAGAGCATTATTTGCGGTGGCGACTGAACTTAGCATTCAACATGCTTTTTGCTCACGCACGTTATCCCACCAACTATGCCGTTTTGTGTTGGAGGTAGTGATTTTGCACGTTGATGCTCAATTTGTATCTTTGGCTTTTGCGATTTTTTCTGAATGCTGGTCCGTCAGATTGTATAATGAGTAATATTGGACCGTCTGTTCAATTCAGTGCAAAAAGTAATCGTGTGTTCCTGTAAGACTGGTGTAAACAAAATCTTGAGAATGCGCTAAAGTAGATACAGCAGGTTTGTGGCGAGAGCCAATAGCGAATGTCAAGAACCCAGGTTGCTGCAGTAATACTATGATATTAAATCCTCCACGCATTTGCTGGCTGATCCACTGAGGCAGTCCAATTGATGAAGTCATTGCATAGCAGATCTAGAGGTCGGATTATAGCAACACAACGTTATATCGCTAGGCCGGAATGGCAGGGTCGAGTTGCTGCACGTTGAGTCCTTGGCCGCTGCCCTTGGTCCGCCGTCCCGGATAATCAGGGTCATTGACCCCGCCACCAAAAGTTCCATCGCTTCAAACATGGGTTTATGTGTCCCTTGTTGGGACTTTCAACGCCTTGCTTGTTTTAAATGGCATCGACGTGAATCGAATACGGAGCCCAGCGGTCACTAACGTCTTTACGTTCTCTGATTGGGTATTCACTGAAAGTGCGCCAGTGATAGATGCGCCAGCAAGTTTGGCGACCAAGGCGTCACCGGCAGCCTTGCTAATTCCAACAGTAGGAACATAAGGGCCAAGAGAGTTGGTCGGAGAACCAAGGGTACCGCTCAAATTCCCGTCAACGTTGTTATAGATGATGGCGACAGCAGCATTAGATGCTCCGGCCAGAGTGGACTTGTCACTAAAAGTGCAGGTCCCCGGGGAAATCACGGCGAGCTTACCGGTGACATCAGCTGGGAAGTCAACCTATTGAGCAATCAGTATTCAAAAATTACCACTGTCAAGTGGGGAATACTGACATGACCACATCCCAAGTTAGGAATTACAGCAAGGTCCCCCGTGACATTGCCAAATGGTCCATAAGGCATTCCCAGAGGGTTTTGATCTTCGTCAATGACCAAGGGCTGCTCACTTTTGGACCACTAGATTACCAGAGGCTGCTTGTACACATTGTAGTATCCGGTGCCATTGAGTTCTCCGTATAGCCAATTGACCGTTTCCAGATGCGCAGGGCCACTAAACACACGATTTCTCACCGGTAGACCCAAATTACCCAAATTTAGTATAACTTAACTTGTAACGTGTTTGCCAAGCGAGCCGCCACCCCAAGCGAGCCGCCACCCCATCCAAAAACGCGTCAATTAATTAGACCTTCCTTCTTTAACCACCTACCATGCCACCAATACGTACTCAATCATCTCGAAATCGTACGGAGCAAGAGGGTAGGATCTTATTAGCTATCTAGGCTATTAAGAAGCAAGAAATAAGCTCTATTTCTCTCGCAGCACGCACTTTTGAAGTACCATGTTCTACTTTACGCGACCGCCTCTCCGGTCATGCTGAACGTAGTACTATACGCGTAAATTTATATAAATTGACTGAAATTAAAGAGGAATCTCTTTAATTATGGATTCTCTCTATAGACTCTCGCGGAGCAGCCCCGCGGCCTTCTGCTATACGAGAAATGGCGGATTTACTACTCGCGGCGCGTGGATCTACCCTCTATCGTTCGGTCGGCAATCATTAGGTTACAAACTTCGTGAAAAGGCATCCAATCCTCTCCTCCTAATTCTCGAAAGGCTATAATTACGCGCGCGTAAAGTGCGAAGATCCTTAAATTATTTCCGATTAGTTTTCTCTCGTTTAAAAAACGATTATTTCGTACCAGATCGATCCCGACGATATCTATAACTTTGACGAGACCGGTTTTGTAATAGGCTTAATCGCGACCGCAAAGGTTATTACGAGAAGGGAATATTACGGTCGGCGAGCACTTTTATAACCCGGAAATCGCGCGTAGGTGACTTTAATTAAGTGTGTAAACGCGTTAGGTTAGGCGCTTCCTCCGTGTGTGATTCTTAAAGGCAAAGTCTTTATCGAATCTTAGTTCGACGGCCTCCCGGACGATTAGCGCCTTAAGGTTAGTCTAAACGGATAGACTTCTAATAAAATTAGTCTTTAGTGGCTTAAAAAGCTCTTTATTCTATCTACTTCTTCGCGTACGAAGGGGAAGTATAGACTTTTGATACTTAACGGCCACGGAAGCTATTTAACTCCGGAATTCGATTGAATTTGCGAAAAAAACGATATTATCGCAATTTATATGCCTCCGCACTTATCTCACCTTTTATAGCCTCTCGATATCGGCTATTTTGCGGTGTTAAAGCGCGCGTACGGTTAGCTTATCGAGTCAAAAATACGTACTAGAATTAACTATATTAATAAGCTAGACTTCCTTAAAGCCTACCCGTCCGCGTAAATTAAGGTATTTAAGTCGGAAACTATTAATAATAGCTTCGCCGCTACTAGTTTAATGCCTTATAACCCCGATCGAGTGCTTTTGAAGCTTAATATTCGCCTTTAGACGCCGACCCCCCCTTTAAGCTAGGGTAGTAAGTAGTAGCTAAAAACGCCTTTAAATTACGTCTAATTATAAAAGTAAGCTTCCTTAATTAAAGCTTTGCTAAAATAGCGCTTAAAAAGCCCACTAAGCCCGCTTAATTTCATAATTAACTAGGTTTTAAAGGCGTGTTAAATTACTATACAGTCGGCAGCTATTCTCGAGAAAGAAGTAAGCGATCTACGCGCTAAAAACGAGAACAAGAAGCGAAAAAAGACTTAGTCTAAAAGGTAAATACCTCTCGAAGAAGGTCTCTTAGTTTTAGAGGCCTCTACCTTAATAGCGTAGCTAAAGTAAGCAGTTTTAGCATAAGGATCCTATAAGGTAGGGCTACCTCCGGCATCTTCTCGGCCGCGTACGAGGGCAAAAACGAAGTGTAGTGTATATAGAATTTAGGGTCATAGAATGACTATATATCCTAATAGACCTCGAGTTTAGCTTATCGAATTTAATAGCGTTTTGGTTAAGATAAATGCATTTAAAATAATTAGATAGGGATGGGGTGGCGGCTCGCTTGGCAAACACGTTACATAATGTCGATTAGTCATCTCTGGTAATTTTGGTAATTTAACGCCTGTCACATCTTTGTTAGCCAAATACACAACATTTCAGCCCTGGAAATGAAAGGTATATATATATATAACTGCCTTTAACACGTCTACATCTTTTACGCATACATTGAATACAAGAAAACTTCTTTACCATTTCCACCCATAAAAGCTCTTCTGAGTATAATATTTCTCTTGAGACTTACAAATCGAAAACCGAACTAGAGTAAGGGATTGAGTAAGCTAGCAAAATGTGAATCTATGGTCGTATAGGTATTTTCAGGTCGGGGCGGGTTTTACCCCCGCGCGTCGACGCGTGCAACAAAGAAAGAGATCCAAAGTAACAGTGCGACAAAACACCAAGATTCCCAAGTCCCAACGTATCAGGCATTTTTGTTCTCTGCATCTATAGAGCAAATTGCGCTAATAGCTACTTCTACTTCTAGCTCACCGCGATCAAGACTCAATTGCCTAATCCTTTAGTCCACTGCTTTTGATTGAACCATCGTTAGACGCGTTCCTAGATTCGGATCCTCCCTAAGCGGCCCTAACAACAGTTGAAATCCTACGACTAACCAACCCACAGTCTTGTAACGGAGTCCTCAGGATTCATGTACAGATCTCTTGCACAGGTCTCTTATACCCCTCTCACACCCCTTAGGGATCGACAGCAACGCGTCAGCGTTGATTCATCATAACGCTGATCCCCTATATTAAATAGTCCAGTCTAGGAGAACCCAGAGGTTCTCCAAGAATCAGTCTCTATATTCCTCCAATATACTACTAGTCCCTTAGGCATCTTCGTCTTACCTAGTTGACAGGCTCTATCCTGCAAACACTAGAACCCCTTCTTTACAAGTCTCTAACCGGTGTAAGAATAAGACTCGCTCCCAAGAGCAGCTCTAAGAGTCCTCAGTCGCGTGACCTCCGACAGAATTGGGTTCTTTACGAAACATCGTAGGAAGATGCCTTCTTGTCTTGGTAGCTCGACACTAAATATGGCCAATTGCTGAATGGGCCATAATTCTTTCCATTTGTACGAGGAGGAGGAGCTCTAGCACCGATCATAAACGCGTCCAAACAAGGGCTTGCTTAGTTAAGAGGATTCCTGAACCAAAATAGAAAATATTATATATCTGATCGTCCAAATTCTGGGAGCCATTTCCAGCGGCCTCAACAACAATAATACCTTGACGTATGGCGCGACGACTTGCTACAAAGTCGTCCGGCCACCATTCAAGGGGGTGGAATCCGAACTGGCTTTCGGGATCTCCATTCCATCTCGGACCCCCTCTGTGGGCTTCGATCAAGATAATGCCTCCACGTCGACTGGGATGGCAAGGAGGCTATCCAGCACCGTGTGGCCTTGAATTTACAGATATTTCCGTGTATAGCATATTCTTGAAGTTTTCAGCTTGATTTCCTGGGTTTTTCAACCACTTTTATATTTACTTGCTCCCACCCCCCTACCGTGGCGTGCCACCAGCTCAAGAACCCCATATGGACTGTTTAATAGATATATTCCACTTCAAGCGGGTGTTCTACATAGAACAGGCTAGAATGCCCTTTCATTACAAACAAGCAATCGATTATACTTTAATGATATGTCGAAGGGTAACTTTAACGTATTAACCATAGTTTGAGGGGGATCGATAGGCCTAGCATGGAACATTGCTGAAACCAGCTTCGAACCCTATCTCCAGAAATAGTTGGGCAAAGATAATAAGCGTTGTGATTACTAACACATATGAGAGGATAATCAACGTTTGGATGGATTGGTAGAAGTTAAACTACAATAAGGTAACTGGAGAATTAAGGTTTGAATAAGCTGGTAGAAGCTTAAGTTAAGATTGAGTTGTCTGGGTCATGCTGCATGCGGCTGCGTTGGTCAATTCAATAGGCAGTCGTGTGACCTCCCACAAAAGGCAGTATTGGAGGCTTCCTTACGGAGATCATGTGAATGTTTGTTGTGGTTTTTTATTGAAAAGAAAGCTTTTTGGCTGTCGGTGGCAACTGTTTGTCAGTCCTCCAAAGAACTTCTCCAAACTTATCTCGTACATGTAGCCAACAAAATCTGACCTAGTCAGCTCTCTGGAAATTTTTGCCCTGATATGGTGGCCATCAGATCACTGCTCGTTGATCCAACACCGCCGAGTAGTTGAAAGGTCGTTCATGTTCAATCTGGAGACTATTGACCAGAAAAATGTAGTCAAGGCCTAGTTCCAAGAGCTACTCTCTTTGGAAAATTACCGTTGAAATTCGTTCAACGCAACTCCAGTCCGTTGGTCCGTTTGAAGTCTACATGAACGATCGGTGGAGTCTGACATGATTTTCAACAAACCGTCGATTTCCACAAATCTTATGACCCAAATGCAAAATGTTTCCAGGGGGAATAGTCGGCCTTCTAATGCGTGTTTGATTTGTCCCGTAGATGTCATCGGCAGGGAAGGGATAAGAAATGGCTCTCAAAAGCAACGAAACGCTGTCGAGAGGCGCTGTCTAAACATATCTGTAAATTTTTTCCGTTTCATGCGCCCTATAGTGAGGGGGAACTGACGAAGCTCAGATAATCGATTGGGCCTGGATGTTACGCCCAGCCAAGTTCGCCTCCAGCCACCCGTCGAGGATGGATACGCCTGGTCAGTGACTGAATCCAAGAAATCCTTACTGCAGTCGAGCCTAAGCAATGGGACTGTCGGTCTATTTCGGGCCATATGTGAAGAACTGGGCCGGTCGCTCGAAGCAGTTACACCGCAGACCTTGCTGGGTTCTGACTCGGGGCGGGACGTTGAACCAGGGGAAGAAGTGAGGATTTCTACGCCTGTCGTATATTTCGTTACTCAACAAATATATAGGATGGCTAAGAGTGCAGGAGGAAGACGGGTCATTTAAAGCAAAGATCCGCCAACTTGCGCGAACCGCGAGCTGCGGGTTGAGCTCGAGCGTACTCGTGTCCGGCTGGACGACGCACGCAGCGAAAGCGATCGATTCCAGACAAAGTCTCGTGGGCTTCAGAGTGAGCTTGACGCCAGCTCACTCCGAGCCAGTCGGCTGGAGACTGAATTGACGCGTGTCAGGGTGGGAATCACCGAGGCGATGAAGTCTTTGCAAGGCCATGGGAGCCAGAGCAGTAGCACGCCGGCGGAAGAACGCGATGTTACTTTATGTCAGGAGAGATCTCGTGAATGGCTTAAAAGCTATATCGCGTGAACTGGGTAGACTGTCGGACACATCGTTTTGTTTTTATGCAAGTATCGGATGCGAGCAAGTCCGTGGGAGGGTACCTTTTATCTTATCGTAACCTGAAAGGCAGGAGCGTGTGGGTCCCAACTTGAACCCCCATAATAGGAAATCTCATCTACTTGTGGTGAAAACACGGCTGTGTCGCAACCATCGCGTAATTTTACGCGTTGATGGGCTATTTTGGGTGATATATAAGGTCCCCGGAATGAATCAGCCACGAATGAGTTGTGCAAGAAGCGGTAAGTGCGCGTTGGGATTCTTAGACAAACGTGCCCTTAGCCATAAAACGCCTGGAAAAAAAGCCAGCAAGCAAAGGATGGGTAAAGGGAGCTACAAAGAGCCCCCTTTCATTAATTTTAGGCAATAGGCTAGTATAGCGTAGGTGTGAGAAAGAAGAAGAGTCGAAGCTTCGTACTTGGTGAAAGGACGCAATGGAAATGGCGGCGGATTTAGCGGCTAAGGAATTGGAGGAAACGTTTGAAAATGAGGATGATACATTATTGGCTAATGAAGCTATTGATGGGCTTTATTTTAAGGATTCTGGACCTTATACGTCTAAAAAAATGAGCTAGAATTTGAAGAAATTGACAATTTGCATTATGGCTGTGGGACACCCCCTACCCGAGAGGGTGAGGGTCATCCTGTGACACGGCTAACCCCCTAGTTTAACTGAAAACAAGATCCCCAATCATACAACATGTTGACGGTAGATATGAACCCCCATACCGAAGGACCACAGAAAACGAAAACAATGATGAACGCAAAAACAGCATACCAATTAGCAGACTTCTTGTATCTTCCGTGGAAGTCTGGGTCCCTGTCAAAATCTGAGTCCCTGTCAAAGGGCAAAGACCCAGGATTGCTCATCTTTAAAAACCTTCGGAGAAGAAGTTGCCGTAATTTTGGGACACCAAGACCGTAAATGCAGTCGAAGCCAAACCATAACATCATCGATATCTGATCGAGGGTGGAGCTCTCCTTGCCTTTGAATCCTGTAAGGGCCCCAAATACTGCAAGCGGAATCAAGACCAAAAAAAGGAAAAAAGCGAAACCCAACCAACGGACTTGATGTTTGTTGACGGGTTCTCTGTCATCTGACGTTTCAAAGGGACTGCATGAAAAAGGACGAAATTCGTATTCCGCTCCTCCAGACTCATCAATAGCATTACCGCCCGGTAAGTCAAACTTGACACCAGAATTTGTGTAGGTGGCTGTAAAAACGTCGTCGGAAGTCACACTCTGGTCGAGCGACCCGATCACACCGTCGAATCTCGCGCCACGCCTCTCAGCTTCGTCCATTTCCTCTGATCTCACCAGATACAAAGCCGGATAGCTTGGGGTAATCAGGCTTGCAAATAAATTGGTCAAAGACATAACCAAATAAGGAAGCACTGTCAAGCTAAATGATGCGAACCCATACTTGCGAATTTGAGCCATGTTGGAAGGTGTGGTCAATGAATATATTGCGAAAAACACTTGCACGATAGCGATTAGAGTTCTCGGCACGTTGTAATTTGACGAAAGGATACTCCGTTGATAAGTGCGAGGAATGGGTGCTTGAGAGGCTGCGAAGTAAGATCGATACTGATCTCCCGTGCCATTAAATTCGACCTTAGCGTCGAATGGCAAAATGGCGACGGTATATTCATTTGGAAGATGCACTAATCCGTGCACTTTGCGCATTTCGCCAAAACCTGGGTCTACTATTGGCGATTCAATCATTTCCTTCGGCAGAATAGGCGTCCCCAGTCCTCTATTGCAAGAGCTGCCGCGGCTTTGGGTGGTTAGTGTCGTTGACGAGCCACCGTTGCTAACTGTTGACCCTTGAGTCATTGGCAGTTCCTCCCCCACCCCTGAGCCATGGCGTTGCTGGGGATTATGTATACGTGTGAGGCTCGCAGTGCTGCATTTCACTACCTCGTTAGGCCGTGGAAACCATTTCACGTAGGAGCGAACAATGACTGCAAGAGCGCCAGCTCGAGCTGCATCTTCAAGTGGGTTGCGCCTTGTGAATTCCTTCCATTTGGCCCTGACTCCTGGCTGATTCCAGACCCGATTCCAGCGTGTGCCGGAAAATAATAAAGACCGCCATATCAAGCTGGCGCCTCTCCAAAGGCCGGAATATGGGAGGAACACGGCTGTCAAAAAGTCCAAGAAGGCAAGTAAAGTTGGTTGCCCTGGAAATGGCACGATAGTTGCTGCATGGGCAACATAATTCACTAAGAAGAATATCGCAATTCTGTACCAAGGTAAGGGAAAGCAAATGATACCTTCTTCTGGCTCCTTTGTGCTATCTGGTACATCAATGAGCTTGCCTACAGCAAAAGAGCTGAAGAGTGTGAGTAGCTCCAGATACATGTTGATAATGTAAATAAGGTTATGTGAATGCTTGTTCGAGTAGCTTAAGCTATAATAGAAGATAACGATAACTCCAAGACGCGGTCCAAAGTACGTAAATTTATGCACTTTAGAGATTACTCTGAGGCATATTGGACCATGGCAAGCTTCGTGACACTACTCTTGGGTGGAAATTGTTATTGGTTAAACAGGAAATGTAGCTATCATAATTTAATAAGACCTAATTTGATCTAGACCTCACGTGGCGACTTCTAGCGGAAAACTTTCATCACTAGTCACTGGCTTGTTCAAAAAGGCTAGTTATTTCAAGGTGGTACAAGATTCTAAAATCGTCGTTTATCCATGGCTTCTCCGGACCATTTAGTGATGACTTAGTCTCAAATTGTGAATCTGTAGCTCACCCATCGCTTCTATCTGATTATAACACAGTGTGGGCCTGATATTCAGATATCGGTTCAATAATAGTTTGGGTAACCTCATTTTAGGCCCCTTGGCTGGCGAAAATCAGTTTCCCGAGGTTATTTGCATTGCTAGTTTGATTTGTCTGGTTATGCCATCTTAGATCGCACCACTATTATTGATCGGGCTCAGCTGACCACGGTCTGTGATCCCAACATAAATATTTTACTCTCCGTGAAACGATCCTGATCAGAAGACTAAAATGCGCAATTTCAGCCCAGACAAATTGAAATGATCATCAGATGATTCTGTCAATCATACATCTTAAAAGCCTGGGTACGGGACCTTTTAGCGACAAGGGTACCGGAATATGTGAATAAAGATCTTATGAGGTGAACCACGGACGATTCTAGCAAAAGATTGCGGGCTCGGGTGATCGACGCGCGTCATGTGGCGCACCCGAAAATGGCAGCGGTCATCCACTTCTGACGCAAAATCTTTAAATTACCCTGAGGGCAAAACAATAATTTAGTTGGGGAGAGGTGTGCAAAGAACAGGCAATACTATAAACACATGGGTCGCTGGAAGCAGAAATTTATGGTCTAGGGTTGGTTTGAAGGGCTTAGAGCGTCAAGGATATCATGATCGTTTTGTAGGTTGTGAAGGCCTTCCGCATAGCGGACTAACTTAATACTGAGTGTGTCTGTGGTGGGCGGTAAAGTATAGACCACGTTTTTTTAATTGCCAAGATTGAGAGAACTAAGGTGGGCGGTGACGCGTTCAGCAGCATGTCAACTCTGTTGGAGGGACGAGGAGAAGAAGGAAGAGGTAAGGTTGACATATATTAACTAATAGCAGATGCCGGGAAAAAGTAAAATTAGCTACGGAACGTCAAAGTCTATTCTTTCTTTTCACATCCACGTCACGGTAATGAAAATCACCAAGTAATCTATATAGGGCATATGGATTAAAGTCCCTTCATTTTTCTGCACCTTTGGATAGTCTGACGGTATTCACATTGCCAACTAAAGCTTTTTTTAAGTTTCTTAATTGGCATTGTAGATGGCGGACTGTCGAGTTGGGAATCTATACTGCCCCATAGATCATAACAAAGTTATTCGGAACCCTTGTGCGTAGGCTATAACGCACCCCACATGCCAAAAGTCTCGCACGGACGAGTCACACAAACACTATCCCACGGGGGGTGGCCCAGTCTGGCAGACTGGGGGTTATGGTTTTCTCTTAACTATGGGAGCAAAAGTGGGTCGTACGCCTGACTAGGAGTTTACGTTGTGCCTAGACTTAGAAGGTGTAGAGTTCTCCGATCGGTCTTAAATTTTGATTAGTTATAATAGAGTAGCTAATTGATCTCCGATTTGCTTCGGAGTATACACAGCCTTCTAGTTATCGAGAAACTGGTGATTGAAAATTGAAGATGTTTTAATGGGGTGCGGGAACTGGGCTAGTTAGGGTTGCGACCGGGGCGTTAGGCTGAACTCTAGGGTTTCGGACGAATTAGATCACCTCGATTATCTTAGTCTACAATGATTAGGGGGAGTAGCAATTAATTTAGGGGTTTTAGAAGACCCCGAGCTATTATCCCACTTTTTTTTACACTATTTCACCCCAAAGGTAGTATTCGATATTCGTCAAATTATATGCAATTCATTACTATACGATATATATATTGCACTAGTCAACTATAGTAAGCCATCTAGTAGTCGAAACCCGACCCATGAGGTAGGTTTGGATTCGCAATATTCAACCTTTTTTTATTATACTCTATAGCACAGATTACGGTTGATTATGAATCTTTAACCCTTATATTTTTATCTATTTTATTTAATTTGTTGTGGACGTTTGAAGTTTTACATCTAGGCGGGAGTGGATAGTCAGTAATTCCCAAAGGGGTTAGCGTGTGGTCAGTAATTCCCAAAGGGGTTAGTGCATAGTCAGTAATTCCCAAACGGGAAGTGGGGCCAAGAATTAATAGACCGAAATTAAGAATCTATTCTTAATATCCGTCTATTTTGACTAAAATACAGAACCCATTCTTAATTTCTGTCTATTTTGACCAAAATACAGAATCTATTCTTAATATCCGTCCACACCACCCATTCTCACCATAGACCCCTAACTTAACCTCTTCTCAATTGCTAATCTATTGTCAACACTACTATACTCATATACCATCTCTAATCTCTAGTATTTCCTACTATATCTAGAGGTAATAGTATTGTGGTCAGAAATACGGTTCATAAGTATAGACGGAAATATAGAATCCATTCTTAATATCCGTCTATTTTGACCGAAATACAGAATCCATTCTTAATTTCTGTCTAAACTACCAATTCTCACGATAGACCCCTAACTTAACCTCTTCTCAATTGCTAATCTATTGTCAACACTACTATTGTCAGGACCCCGACCCGACAGGTGCCTAAGGGTGCCTGAAAAGTATACTGCGAGCCTTTAGACTGCGCAGTGCGCTGATAGATAGGCATATGCATAGACCATAAAGGTCGTGCATTTCGCTTAGTCCCTTAGCTAAGCGCACCTTATATTTATTGCACTCGCTGGCCTTCGCATAAAGGACTAGCAATTAGTCTCTTGTTACACCTACACATACACTTCGACGATAGTCTCTACTTCCCGTACTTATACTGCTACACTAGGACCTCGTAGGGTCCTAACAATTCTAATTGCTCCACCTAGCGAGTACGCCCGGTAGAGCTATCAACCCCTTTTCACTATTATGTCGAGCCCCCACCAAACTCGGTCGCGCTCGTAGCAATAAACTACCAATACTACGACCTAACCTCGACCTACACCTACGCCTCCGTCTAAGCCCTCCCTCGATAAGCTTAGAGACTAGATTGCGTAGACAGAAGAGGCATTAGCCTAACGTAAACTCGAATCTCGCTTAGATACGTTAACTAACCCTCGCATCTAAGCGACCGAAGTGACCGACACGCCTCTAGGGACTATTTAGGCCCTACGCCTTTAACCACCTCGGGCGGATACGAAGATTAAGCTATTCATAGGGTCGAATACCTAAGAATACTATATATTCGTGAATCGACTTAATAACTACTTCGAATAACACCCCTAGTGGTACGCCTTCGCACCTAATAAGGTGACTACTACGGCCACCTACCTATTAGACGATCGCCATAACTAATAGCGAGCGTACCTATAGTCCTTCTTAGAACGACCTACCTAGTAGGATTTCACCGAATTCTACTTACGGCTTATTAATAACCCCGAGAATATATACCGCGAAGCTACCCTTACGTATATACGACGGACCTAGAGACACAATCAGTCCGTACGTGCGTTCGCAACCGAGCTAGACACTATTCACCGATAGCTATAATACCCTTATAAAGACGATTATCGTAAGGAGCATCTCTAGGCCAAGGTCCTAAATATCATTCGCACTAAAGCTATCAAATACCCTAATAAGCCCGACACCTATAAGGCTTATATCGGCCACCTTTATATAGTCGAGAACTAGCTTCTAGAAAGACGGAAGCTACTTCGCACTTAGTCTGATATAGTGCGGTCGGATTAGGAAGCGGGTATACCCCTTTAGTCCCGTATCACGCGTGACCCAAAGACCTATTTATACTAAAAAGATCACAAAAAATGGAGCGTTAGCGACTCAAACTAAGAGCCTCGCTATAGCGTATCTAAGAGAAAATTCACATTACCCCCTATATAATTAGGGGCTATTTCCTACTATCGATACGGGAAACCGGGCTATTATACTAGTAGCTACGATTAACTAGACCCGCGAGCTACGTAGGATAAGACCCGACTATTAAAAAACTAACTCCCCTAGTGTTTAGAGCTACTAAAGCACTAGTAGGGGTTCCTAGAAGGCAGAGCGACCGAGCCTTCGTATACGAAGTCTCAATCCTTACCTAGGAGGGTAGTAAGGACGTATAGGCGCTAGTCGATAGCGGAGTAGAGCAAAGCTTTATTAACTAGCGCTAGACGAAGGAGCACCTTCTAGGTAAGGAAGTGACACCTTTGTAGGGGTCTATTATATTTAACGGACACCCTATCACTTCCTACGGGAACCGCGAGGTCGACTGCAAAGTTAGGGATAGCGATAGGATCCTAAACTCCCTCGTTATCCCTTACGAATCTATTAAGATCGTAGGATATAATATTATCCTCGGACATAATTAGCTTATACGAGCTAACCTAGACATTAATTAGGCTAAGGATACGTAGAAATAGCGGCCACTAACTAGCCGAAGGGGAGACAAAATAACTATAGCGGCTTACTATCGAGAAATCCTCGTAGGGGCTATAATACTAGTGGTGTATCCCTACCCTTCGGCGTAGTTAGGGTCTCCTCCGCTACTTACTACGGTATTCGGTAGAGAAGACGGCTACCCTACGCTACTCGCTACGGCGGCCGGTACGGGGGATACCTTCCTAAGGACCTATTAGGAGTATAAGGACGTCTTCAATACGTCCTAAGCGGCTAGATTGCCTAAGAACTCCGCGTATAATTATCTAATCGATCTTTAGCCGGACTTATAGCTACCTCACCGCCCGATCTACTCCTTATCGGCGAAGGAATTAGA